CCTGTATCCAGTTAGGCCTCAAATCTCTTTATTATTATCTAGATTACTTAGAGCACTTTTTTCTTTTTTGAATTTCATTTCTAACTTCCTATTCCAATACAATACTACCCAGGTGTCCTTCTATATAGGATTAGCATTTCATTTTTGAAAGAAGAAAATATCTCCTCTATTGAGTGATTTTTCTTGATCCACAGGACTTAGTCTATCTCATTGTCTGTTTACAGCTTATTAAATGAGGTGATGTCCATGGAGGAACAAACCGAGATGCTGGAGGACCAGGACCTTGACCCCAATCAGGGGATATATATCGAGGTGAGCTGGAGGCTTGGAAGAGACAGTCTGGGAGGCTGGGGATTTCTGCCCTTCCCGCCCCTTCTATTGTTCAACAGGCCCTAAAAGGACTAAGACCTATCTCTGTCACAAGGAAGAGTGCTCTCTGGTGGTCAGTTCTGAGCACCTTTCTCCTGGGTAACAACACATGAGTGGTAACACAAAAAGCCTAGACTTGACTTCTACCCTAGAACCTCGGTGAGACAAATATGGCAGGCTTCTATCTTGTTGCCATCTTAAGATAAGATGGAGTACCTTAAGGGAGAACTTCTTTTCTTAATCTTTATATCCCAGCACCTACCAGTACAGAGAAAACATCCAGGAAATATTTGTTGAGAATTGCATCCTTAGAGTATATAAGAGATCTATTTGTGTTTGCCTTTGATGCCTTCATGAAGAGTTCTTGTATTGTTTTCACAATCTCCGAAGTTTTCTTGATTGTTTGTCTCCTTGCATTTCTTAGAGATTCTTCGCAGAGAAAGGTTTAATTTTCCATCTTTTTAATAGTTGTAGAATACTAGCACTGAAAGGTAGAGATCAACTTGGAACACAAATTAGACTTCAGAGTCCTGGCTGATAGTTTTTATGCTTTATGCTAAGTCAGGCCTTTGAAGTGAAGTCCTTAAAAAAAGAAAAAAAATCCGTGTCTAACTACCTCTTTGGGTTGAAATTGCCAACCTCTGCTTTAATTCACCCCAAATTTTAAAGTTTAAAAGTTTATTATGGCCGGGCGCGGTGGCTCACGCCTGTAATCGAGTGATGACTCAGTTAACTCTGGCGCTGAAGCAATGTCACCGGCGAAGTGATGGTGGTCATACTGTGCTGCATCGGGATCTGAAACCACCCAATGTTTTCCTGGATGGCAAGCAAAACGTCAAGCTTGGAGACTTTGGGCTGGCTAGAATATTAAACCATGATACAAGTTTTGCAAAAACATTTGTTGGCACACCTTATTGTATGTCTCCTGAACAAATGAATCGCATGTCCTACAATGAGAAATCAGATATCTGGTCACTGGGTTGTTTGCTGTATGAATTGTGTGCATTAATGCCTCCATTTACAGCTTTTAACCAGAAAGAACTAGCTGGGAAGATCAGAGAAGGCAAATTCAGGCGAATTCCATACCGTTACTCTGATGAATTGAATGAAATTATTACGAGGATGTTAAATTTAAAGGATTACCATCGATCTTCTGTTGAAGAAATTCTTGAGAACCCTTTGATAGCAGAGTTGGTTGCAGAAGAGCAAAGAAGAAATCATGAAAGAAGAGGGTGACAATTAGGAGAGCCAGAAAAGTTGCAGGAGTCCAGCCCTATA